AAAAAAAAAAAAAAAAAAAAAAAAAGTTATGAGAAAACAAAAGAGAATGGGTAAACAATTCATGTTTTTTGTCAGCATACCCTGCTATCTTGAAGATAGTGAGGTACTAACTCTTTCATTAGGGGCAATGTGATCTCTGATTTCAGCCTGCAAAAAAAAATAAAATAAAATAAACATAATGTGATCCAATTTTTTGCATTTCTAAAGGGAATGGTACTTTACGAGAAAAACCAGAGATAAGATAGCTTACACATTAGAACAAATAACCCAATTACCAGATATGAAGAAAAAATGTTAACTCTTCCAGACTACTTTCACGAATATAATATAGAAAAATCTTGGTAAATCAGGCTGTAATTAGAGAGATTCAAACGACAATAAATAAATAAAAAAAAATAAAAAATCTGCGCCTAAGTGTAGAGCACATATCACAGCTTAAGAACTAAATGCACAGAATACCATCATAATGTTTCAATCAGTGATTATTCTCATAAGCAGCCATTTTGAAGATGGATAACATGATGATGCATGGTTAATCAACTTCATCTCTGTAACACATGTGAAAGTTTCCTATTGTATGCAACCGCAAATGGAAAGTATGTAGGATGCTGCTAAAAAAGATTTTTAAACAACCAGAATGCGGCCATCAGTCATTAGACAGGATTGGAATGCAAATTGTTTTCAAAATGTAACTGGGATGGGGTCAGTTGCAGTCACAAATGACCTAACACAACTTGTCATTTGACCTACTGCCTCACGATCTGAACTCTGAGGATGAGTTTTCTTCTAGTTTGTGTCAAACCTTAGGTCTAGGATTCTCAAATGACAATTTACAGATCATGTCAATGAAATTGTTTTTTTTTTTTTTTTCCTTTTCAAATAATAACAACTCTCTTGAATTGTCCTAGTCATTCCTTCCATTTTAACCGTACCTAACCATTGGATTTCATCCATTGGTTATATTCATCCCATCATTTTTTGCAAGATCAACCCAAAATCTGTTAAATAAATTGCACACTTTTTAAGCAAAGGCAGAAGAAGTTACTATTCACCAATTGGCTATTACAAGTAAACTTTACAATGCCTAAGAGGTTTTGCATTCCATCGGAGAACAAGTTACTAGATGATAGGCCAGATGGAATAAAAAGACCCGATACTGTATCCATTTCAGATAAATCGGTATTCATTTTGAACTTGTAATACCATAGTTTTAAATGGCAAATGGCAATCTAGTGCAATTTGCCCATGGAATGGCCACAAAGCGAGAAGCAAACCTCAGCAAACAAGCCACCAAGCATTAAAGAATATAGATGTGCATTTACATTTTATGTTTAGATGGCAAAAGCAACCTCAAATATCCTCAAGTAAAATAAATTTCAAAAAATAAAATGAAAAGCAGTCAAAAGAAAACCAAATAAAGTTAATGTAAAAGAATCAAATCTAAAGAAAGTAAATGAGAGGAAAGGAAAAACAGCCCGATTTGCAGCCTCGAATGTTGAGCATTATCTGTCACATAAAGAAAGTTAACAAAAGAGAAATGGAGGCAAACGGTAAAAGAAAGGAAACAAATAATGAAAATAAGGGAAACCAAAAAAAAAGGAAATGGCAGGGCTGCAACACAACCGACTGGGCTCAATTGCGGTCCAAGTGGACAAGATGCGGCCGGCTGTCAGAGATCAGAAATGGGATGGTCAGCCATTGGCCCGCCTAATTTTCGGATCTAAGTAGATTGTTAAGGTACCTTGCAGAAACCTAGTTTGGGTGCGTGAAACAATCAGAAGGGAGGAGCCCAATTTATAATTTTTTTTTCCCTAATCACATTACATCTTAGCTGAACAGGTGGGGAGAGGTGCGCCTTTGGCAAGAGAGAGGCGCCGTGAGGTACTGCTTCGGCGACATGACACCTCGGCGACATGACACCTCTGGTGGGGGCGATGCAATTTCAATCATCCCTGTTGCCTCAAGCCACTGTGGCGCCATTTAAAACTTTGTGTAATACTATATAAATCCATGTTCCTTGCAGGATTTACCGTTTGTACACTTAACGAACTAATTCAAATGTGTAATTATTCGAGTTCAGCAAGCTATGTCAAGTCGTTGGATGCAAAAATATGAAGAACACGCTAGTTTCATGTAGAGCAGAGTAGAAGAATATTAAGCACCATAAGACGTGCCAGAGAATGTCCAATATCTTACTGGGCATGAGTGGATAAAGGAAGTGCAGCATATCCCACAACCACCTGCAATTGATAACCAAAGTAGATTCCAAATGAGTAAACACGACAACAGAAGTACACACAGTTCCAAAAGAAAACAAATGTACAAAGTAGTGAAATATAATACAATAGAAATACGGCTTCGCCAGCTGGAGTTACTCAAAATCTGCATGAGTGGAGATACTAAAGATGGCGCCAGAAGTATAATAGAAATTTTAGCACTTACCGGCTTTGGAGCTTCCATTTTAGTTTGGAGGTCAACATGATAAAAAGTGAATAAAAGGTGATGCATAGGGGTCCAAATGGCAGGCAACGAAACTTTAATTTCATCATGGTAATAGGCAACTCTAGCTCCAACTGCAACTTGAGTACAGGCCCATTTTTTACGTTCAGAGCCGGGTTCTCTTGGGTGCATTGCCTGATGAATAACCACTATACATTGATCATGTGTCACCAACCAACCTCCATCAACAACATATCATATAAACGTACCTCTAATGGGGCTTTGCGGATATCTCCATCATCCTTTCTCAGTTCAACTCGTATGAACAAATTTTTTTTTCTACTCATGCTAACACTTAAAGGATAAACATAAAGGCAGTGGAAATGCTGCAAGAAAGGCTCGTTCCTTGTAGTTATCCGAAAATCAAAGGCCTGAAACTGTTAAGATAGAATGTATTACAACTTAGAGTGCGCAACCTAAGAAAGATTAGCTACAGGCACATTAAATAAAACAAAAGTTTCATCCAAGTTTTGAAGATATTTCTTACCGTCTCTCAACCACAAGAGAGCTGTATCCTCTGTACATAAGTTCACGAGGTTTGCAGAGACTCACATGAATGTGCCACAAATTATGGTAGAGGATTTAAAAAAAGAAATATACAGAAACTTACATCACTAGCACTGCGATCTACCAATCCATGGGCCATTGATCCATTCCGATTCAGCTCTATTTTATCAGAGGAATGTGGACCGAAATCAGTGTTCTGCCATCCATCAGTTCTGTAGCTGGGACATTTTTCAAAGGTAGTGTCAGGCACATCCAGATGACCCATCAAATCATTGTTTGTACTTCCGTTCTCAAAGTACTTTTCTGAATCAACAAGGCCAGATTGCAACTTTTCAATCTCCAATCTTAAGATACCTTTCACTGGTTTGTGAATCTTTCGCTTAGGATCCTAGCAATAAAGGAAAATCAATTTGATGAGAGACAAACAATACAAGAGGTTATATAGTGTGTAGTAATGATGCAATTGCATCAACAAAGGAACAGCCAAATGGTCAAAGTTTCTACTATTGAAGGGAGAGGGTCCCTCATGCAAAGCTTTGGTCAAATTTATTTGCACGAAAATAGTAAAACAAAATGAGGAACGGGAGGGTGAAAATTATTTCAGCAGAAATATGTTGTTTTCATTGGTGGAAAGGCCTAATGGGCTGTTTGGTATAATAAAATAAAGTGCGCAAAAAAGATATATTTCTTGCCAAACAGCGACTATCCTAACAAATCAATTTTAAGTGGTAAATTAACCTTTGAAAATTAAAATATAATCATTAATCAGAAATGTCCAACAGAAGGTACTTTAATTTTTCGGAGCTAGTGGAATTAGTAAACTATTGTTTTGTCTTTTTTATGGTATCAATTCCTTTTCTAGGGATAACAAATTAGAAGAAAAACAAGATGAGCATGTAGAAATTTTTAGGGATGAAACAAATGGTAATTTGAAGAATAATAAACACAACAAACAAATACATAAAACTTCAAATTCGAAGTAATGTGTTCGACAATAAAGCAAAAAAAGCACTTCTAAAAGTTTATGTCATTTGGGCCTTAGTGTAATGTACACATATATATATATATAACAAAATCTGTGGAAAGGTTCTATATACTTCCTATTGTAACTCCACAACATCTTCAAATACTATTTTAAACTAAGCAAGCACTTTCTCCTTACAGAACCACCTATAATTCTCATTACCTTGCCCATTCATCTTTTAACAAAACAATTTAGAAATTTAGTCAATAGATAGAAAGCAAAAGTTCCTACATGCAAAAGTTCACTACACATGAAGTGTTTTATTCTTTTGCATCAATCTTAAATGCTTGTCTCCTAAAAGCCTCCATAGGGAGAATATATATATATATATATATATATATATATATACTAGTACAATACCCGTGTATTACACGGGTGCTTGTTAAAAAATTATTCTTAAATTTTAAAATTAATGAGAAAATTATATTAAATTTAATTTACTTTTTTACAAAAAAAATATATTACTATATATTTTAGAATGATATGTGTTACTTATGGCTTACATGTGTTATATTATATTAGTTTTTATAACTTATATCATATAACTACTTGAAATATAAATATATTAGTTGATAAATAATTTTATTTTTCTAATTAATATTAAAAATAATTTTATTATTGTTATAAAGATAAATATAAATTATTTTTTTTATACATACAATATGGATGTTAAATCGAAGCTTATCAAAAGAAGATTAATTTGATATATTACATATGTAAAACTGATAAAAAATACAAAAGTTATTAACTTTTAAAATATATATACAATTCAATAGTTATAATAAGGAATGATATTAAAATACAATTAATACATGTAACATGACCATAAATAATCAACATATTTATGGTAATCCGAACCTAGTTATTTTTGGTTTGGAATTAAATTAAAATTTATCCAAGCCTAATAACGAAGCATGTAATTTTGCCACATAGGATTTCGAAGCACCAGAAGCAAACACGTAGGTTCAGCGCATTCTGTATTAATATATAGGGGGATATATGTATAGTATCTGTTTATAAAAGCTTTGAGCCGAAAAAAAAAAAAAAAAATTCAAGTAATCGGAAACTCTGAAAAATGGGCTTTGAACTTAAAACTATTTTGGTCTGGAGCATAATTTTTTTTTTTTCATATTTTCTTTCCCTAGAGAGGTTATAAGATGATAAAACCGGATAATGGTTTTTCCAACTGACATTAATGACAAAGTAAATGAGAATAGAACCTAACCAGAAGTGACTCCTCAGTATAGCCTTCTTTAACTTTGCTCAGATTTGAAACTTCAACTACAACAGAGTTTCCACCAGAATAGCCAAGTGTCCCATCCGTTGTAATCTTTGCAGCTGGCTCACCAGCACCTTCTTGAGTTGAACTTGAAATACTAGTAATAAGTGGGCTGCTGGGGGATGCAAACTCTCCAGATGCAGAAGTAATACCACCATCAAAAAGCGGGATAATTACCCAAGCAAATGGCTCTCTGTAAGACATTATTCGAGACCAGACTTGCAGCTTTTGTTTCTCCCTCTCAGTGAGATGAACCTATTATCCATCATAAGAATAAAATAAAAGTTCAAAAGTAAAAATTGCATTCATTACTAAAGGTTCTAGTAAAAGTACAACAATTACCTCCATGAAGATTCTAAATATAGGAAACTCGATAATATTTATTATTTGACTAATTAAGTAGATGTATCATCTTTCCTCCCCAACATTTGTATCAACTTAAATGTTGCGGTACTCACTGGTTCTTTCCTTGAATAAACGGATGAAGTCACTCCCCCTTCTTCAGTTGCAGGCTTTTCTAACTGAATAAGGAGACACACTGATGCTGATGGCACGTCAACCCGGAAAATCCCACGTGTCTCAACAGAGTTGCTTGACTGGTAAGTAATGAACATAAAACATAATAAAATGACAAGCATGGCACATTTCGATGGGAGATAAGTAAATAGAGAAGAAATCAGCTACTTCGGAATTTCTTATGAAGAATAACAGAAAAGAAAACTATCACCCACTTACATCTGGCATGTCAGCGGGTAACATGTGGAAAATGAAATCTTCGGAAAGCTTTTCCTTTCTCTCCCTATTATATAAACAAATTGTGCCATAAAATGGCTCTACAAGAAAACTTCTGTATTTCAGTTCCCGAAGTAACTTGAGGCTCAAACGGCCCAAGATGAAAAAGAAACAGAATGAAATAGGATGTCAGCAGTAAAGCAATTTTTTAAGGAAAGTTCAAACTCACCGACAAACCCAGCTTGAAATGACAAGGATAACACCTTTACTGCAATCCTCAGCCCACTACAACAACAAACTGACGCATCAAAAGAGCAATTGGAGAAATAAAGGGAAGATAGGATTAGTTGTTCATAAGGTGGGTTAGTAAGACCTGGTATATTGAAATATGTTAGCAGCAGGAATTCTATGACCAAATATCGTCGATCTCTCATTATCCCAATCGAAAACAGGTTCGTAAGCTGGCAGGGGAGATTCTCCAAAATGCTGCAAACCATTTTTATGTAATAGAAATGGATTCAAGCAACATTATAACGAAATATTGTCCGTAATTAAGAAAACAAAGAAGTAGCATACAAAGTTCTTTGAAGTCTCCGATTTCGATGAATCGTAAACATTTGATCGTGAATAATGACTCCCAGATGTACTAGCAATTTCTTCTTCAGTCGAATCTTGTACCTTAGACCTTTTGGCATTTGCCAGCTCAATTTCTGCGAAGTGACCAAAAAAGTATCCTTTAGTAACATGCAATTGAGTAGCACTGATAAATATGTGATCAAGAAAAGGAAGTCGCACGTGGCATCAATTTTCTTTAGAAGAGTATTCCCATTAAAGGAAATCTTCATGATTTTTCCACAGATACCATAACAGCGGTGGAACCGTCACAAGGCAATCTAGGGAATAGAGCACCCTCTTTTACATGTGGGAATAAAATCTAATATGCTTTAAAGTTAAAGATGATAAAAAGGATCCAAATATCATTTGGAGCAATTCCCAGCAAGCATATGAGACCAAAAAAAATACTATTTAAGCATTTTTCTTCTGGTATTTCTTCAGAAAATAAATAGCAAAACCTCTCTTTTCTCTTCTCTCTCTACTGACCCGTTTCCATATCAGTATCCGGCCCCTCAAATATCTGATTGTCAAATGTGACAGGGCCAACGCTTTCGTAATGCCCATACTTAGACTCATCTTTAACCCAGTCAGCCCCATAGCTCTGGACAAGCTCATTTAGATGTGGCCACTGCTCCAAGTTTTCCTCAAGCTGCAGAAAAAAATAAATAAATAAAACGGACAGATCAGTTGGAGTCACTAGAAAAGAAGAACCAGAGTTATACAAGCATTGAACATTAGCAACTCTACGACAACAAACATACACACATTGTAGAACCAGGGATAAAACTAAAGCTTCTACTGAAAAATTGTGATGCAAACAGGTGGGAAGTAAGTGAATTGACAGCCGATGTAAACAAATCGAGAATTTAAAAACTCAAAAATCAAATGCCAATGCCTGAAAATCCCTACCTGCTAGAACTGAATATTCAACAATGCACTACTGACATAGACTAAACTCACCAATGGGTCCATCTGAAAGCAATTAGAAATGGATTCCCGAGGAATCCTTCGAAAACGAAGCCCACTAGCCAGCGCATTCTCCATGAGAGTACAAAATGTTGATAACTGAAAGCAAAATGAAGAAGGAAAATGAATTAACACACAAATTATAGCTCTGTAACTGGAAACACCCATGCAGCAACCGAAATCTATGATAGACGAAGTAAACCCACATTTATGATAACCGTAGGAGACCTCCTGATGCAATTTGAAGAAACAAATGGGAAAAAAAGGGAGAAAAAGAAACTTACTAGAAAATGCAGATCTGTCTTTGTTTCTTGCTGATGTGCTAACAAGTTGCGGTGGTCGGTAATGAAGAAACGGTAGCTTCTTCCTCTTCGTCTCTCTTTTTTTCCCAGAACAAACTTATTCGAACTTTCTTCATAAGAATGTATTCTACTGGTCGGAAATTCCGATCGTGGTTCAATGGATAAAAAGCTTCCCGAACTACAGATGTGAGAATGGCATGCAAATCTAGGAAAGTCCAATTAACTGATCGGGAATCTCGCCGGCGGGGAAAGAAATCGCAGAATAATCGGCGATTAAAAATAGGCGACGGCAACAAAACCAGGATCGATAGTATTTTCCGCAGTATTTTCCGCTCGACTGTGGAGTATACTGTAAAGCAGTGAACCCGTGTTTGCGGGGCTTATTTTACATAATTGAGATATATTATGCCATTAAGATATCATTTAAGTATAACTTAATTTAAATAAGTAATGGAAAAGAAAGAAAGAAC